TTATTTTATTTTATTTTATTTTATTTTATTCTATTTTATTTTATTTTTTGCCCAATTGAAATCATGATTACATTTGCAACGTCATCTTAATTTTCCGAATTCGCAATTTTTCATTAAACTTAACGATAAAAAGTTATGAACGACATTTTCGCCGTACGGTTTAATTAGACTTGGCCCTGCATGGTACGATGTAATCTATGGATGAAAACTATACAGAATAAAAAAATTGCTTGTATGTACTGACTGTTAAAGTGCCTATCAAGCCTACAGGATCTCTTCCTGATTTCAAAGCCCTAAATAAGATTGACCCTTACTTTCTTTTTGATATTATTTTTCGTTGCCGACGTATTCAATACAGAAATTACGAAAGGACTGACGTCAACCCAGGATCCTTGTAAAAAGTGCACTCATCAAATAGAGAATATCTATGTGAGAATTAACTCGAAATGACCGGAATTTTTGGTGGTCATAGTGCACTATAATCACTAAAAGTTTCAGTCTTTTGAGCTAATTTCAGATTTTCACAAGGTTCTATCTGTTAGATAGCCTTGCCCTGACTTGGATCAGCCTAGAGGTTTTTTTCCAGGATTCTATCTGAGAGTTTGACGTGATCTGATTTGGATCAGCCCAGATGTTAATTGTCTAAAGTTTCGAATTTGAGCGGGTCTTTTGTAAGAAGTCGCAAATCTTGATATACATACGCACGGATCTTTTACGCAATACGACGGGAGTTAAGTTCTTTTAGAATTCCTTTTTAAAACTTAAAAACTGTTTTTGAAGATTTTTTAAAAATACTGAAGAAAAATTAAAGAAGCTTGTGACTCAAAAGCAAAAAAGTCACTTTAGAAAAGTTAAAGTTATGTAGTCATATACCAATGTGATTCAGGCGGAATATTCTGTTAATCCCCAGCAATTTGTGCAAAATATTGAACTCACCATTTTGGCAGTTGTTCCCATCATATCCTTTCTTACATTGACAGCGATATTCCTGCCTGTTTTTCTGAAGGATGCAGGTGCCACCATTATGACAGGGTGTCTCTGCGCACGGGTTCTGGAAAGAAAAAAATGGTTTAAGTTATTGGTTTCCTTGTTAATAATTCTGGAAGAACAAGAAACTATCTTGACTATAATCTTTGGAAATTACCTGGATRCTGAAATGAACAAATGCATTGTTTTGTATCATGTTCTGCGGGTGAGTATGTTTATCGGTTGACAACAGCTCACATACGTGAAGTCCATTTTTCTTGGCTGTGGTTTGAAAGTTCATCGATTGACACCAAGGAACCCCAACACAGGCAAAGACACATTCCATTTTATCAGGAACTTGAGTGGTTTGTTGCTGAATGTCTTTGGTGTGAATGGGAAATGACAAAATGGACGCAGGAAAAGCATCAAAAAGAAAACCTTTGTCCTTGTTGAGATAGTCGTCCTGTTCATTACATGTGGTGTAGTGTGCTTTACACAAAAGCAGTACTAAAGCTAACCAGTTCATAACGAATGGCTACTGATTCGACCTTCGTACGTAAAGGGACGAAGGAATAACGAAAATGATAAAAGTCGGCACAAGCAACGTTTTAATTTTACTTTCAATTGCTTCAGCTCCTCCTACAAGCTAAAATTAAAAGGGGACAAAATCTTATCTCCATCCGGCCATTGATTGGGAAAGTATTAATTAGTAGTAAATATACTAATGTATAGTGTAATTTGAAGCAATCATTCGATACCTGCTCATTTAATAAAACGTTGTTTATCTTCTAAAGTATATGTTAAGTACCTAGGTGTACTACTACGTCGATAAACACCTGTCATGGGAAAACCACATCGATCTCTTCTTAAGTAATAAAATAAGTAGGACTGTTGGAATACTATCAAAACTGAAACTTTTCTTATCTACAAATACTCTATTTACAATGTATACGTCCCTTTTTCACCCCTTATTTTTATATGGAATAAGCATCGTGGGCGAAGCCGATAAAACTTGTATTAAAATAAAGGACTGATCATTGATTAACGTGCTTCCATCTAGTTTAGGATGCACGCGGGAAGCTGCTAAGCAAGAAGAAGTTTAAGAGTCACACGAGTAGCCGAGTGCCGCGACTCTAGGATCTTTAGTGCTTAAGCAACTGATAACATTTTATCGGTTACGTTGCTTGTATATATTCCCTAACACATCTAATATTCGAAGTTTCTAGTGAACAAAGCATCTTTACACATTCAAAATATTGTGTCAATCAGATGAGATTCACTCCTAAAAGTTTTATTGAAATTTTTCAAGACTTGAAATACAAGGAAATATAAGGAAAAACATGTATTGCTTTTTGTATATTGTAAATTGCTAATTGTCACGTCTTTGTGTTAATAAAGTATCTATGGAAAAAAATAAAAGTCACATAGATGGAATGTGGAAGACAGCGCAACTGGATATGCTTTCTATGTCGTATTCGCATTAATACCATTCCTCATGACGGAATTAAGCGGCTGGTTAATGCTTTGATCATATCTCAACTTCATTATTCTAATAGTTTACATTATGGCGGCCTTCCAAATTATCAGAAAGAAAAGTTACAGAGAGTGCAAAACACTGCAGCAGCTGCGATGGATCGATTGGTCGAAGGTGCAAAACACTCAGATCATATTACACCCGGTTTGAAGGACTCTAATTGGTTACCAGTTGAGTCGAGAGTATTGTTTAAGATTAATCATGTCTTACAAGATCCTCCATGGACTTTCTCTGCAATATCTGGTGTCTCTCATAAAAAAAGCACCAAGCATCACGCGCGCTTCGCTTGTCTCACCAATGTGCTTTTAGTTCCTCCACCATATATAACAATCACGTAAGGCGATCGAAGCTTTATTCATTCAGCTCCTAAATTGTTTTCAAGGAAATTAGGACAGCAGGATTTCATTTTCATGATTTTACACGAAAATAAGCAAAATTATAGCTGAGATGAAATGGAACGACAAAGCTCAGCATTATTTTTGAGAACGGCGAAAAGGCCTGGCTACCAAGTTATATTGAAAATTTTTAATGTAAATAATTTCCCAATTGCTTTATGTAGAGTTAAACTCATGCTCAACTTTGTTCCAATTTATCTCGGCTATACTTTTTCTTATTTTTTAGGGTCAATTAAACCGACCAAATGTACACCATATTTTATTCAAGAAAAATGAAATATGATATCATACATTACGTAAAATTGAAAACGTCATTACATATCAGAAAACGATCAATTTCACAAAAAGATTTTATGAATAGGTTGAAAACATAAGAAAAACCTCTTAGATATTCTACTTTTTTTCCATATAGCAACTGCGTGGCAGGTAAATACGTAATACCCCCCTTTAAAAATATACAAAACATATCCATATGATACTAAAACAATAACAACTAATCTTCTTATGCATTTTAATCATTCTCAATTAGATCTTCTTTTTTTTTTTTGTTTGAAGAAGAAAATTATCGAAAGTTAAGAAACAGATAAATACCTTCACTTCAATAATTTGGTCGAGTTTACTATAAATGAAAAATCGCACGACCTTCTCGTACAATTCGTTAATAGTCGTGATGTTTTGAAAGTTCTTTAAAACTGCTATCTCGCCTAAGGGCTCTTTAAAGGCTAAAAGCTCTTACATATTAATAACGACTTGCAATTTTTTGTACTTATACAAAGTGGAAGAAGGTTATGAAACAATTTTAAGCTGACATTTCGTTTTTAAAGTTTTAATTTTAAGATTTGTGACAACAAGTTTACTCCAATTTTCTCGACGTTTCAAGATCATTTTTAAGAGTGAAGAGATCAATTGAATTGCAACTACTTATAACAATATCAGAGAATAAAAGAGAATCAACTTATGCCCCAAATAGGACCATTTCAAAGCAATAATTTTCATTCGTAATCTTCGTAAAAAAATAATTAATCTCGATTTTGAGGCTATAATGGCAATGTATACAGATAGTCATTAGCCTGAATAAGGCGAAAGTATAGGACATAAGTCCCCTACTATTACTATTACTCTAACTCCACCGCACAGCCTCCATTTGCAGTATACACTGTATTGCGAAATTATYGTCGGGTTCAAAGCATAGTGTACATAGAAGTTTATAATCCAAAATGCTTCTAACCCTCTAGACGTGAACGCTATGACATACTGAATATGTTATCTTAGAGAAAAACATTTTTTCCTTCTAATTTTCAAACATTGTCATCATTCTATAGTTTCCAGTTGCTATAGTTCACTATTCTTTGCAACGCACACCTGCAGATTTCAGTTTCGGCTTAGTGTGAATTTGAAGATAAACATCCGAACTAGGGTTTGTTACTAATAAAAACGCACAAAAATTTATGACTATATTCTTTATTTGTTTTTATGACTACATTTGCTTTTGCTTTGGATCCTCACCCCCACAATCATTGTTTTCAAATGTTCCCGAAAAAATGTATGCTTTGTAGTGATAATTTTATCGGGATGTCTTGGATAGTATTGATATGATTTCACTTGTAGGACTTATCTGGTAACTAGGGAATCTTCGTGTCCTATTTCCATTGTTTTCGTTGCCACGCGTGAGAACAAGACAACAGTCGCGAACGATGAAATTGGGCAATAGACTGCCATCAATCTATCGGTACCTTAGTTACATACTCTGATTGAAGCTAGCGTATTGTCACAATTGCCATGTTGCGACTATTGTCTCGGTCAACGCGCGTTGCTAGAAAAACAGCATTCTTGTACCCAGACCCTTCGATTTTTCATTAGAAAACTAAAAAAGGTTTGGATAGGAGACTTCTTCGAGCTATTCGATGATTACATATTCACATCCTGGTGTGAATAAGGTCACTTTTAGTGGGGTATATCATGTATACACACACCTGTGCATAGATATCTAATAATGATAATCACGTGGTGTGAATAAGGTTACGTGTAGTAGGGTATATCATGTATACGCACACCTGTGCATGGATATCTAATAATGATAATCACCTAGTGTGAATAAGGTCACGTTTAGTGGAGTATATCATGTATACACACCCCTGTACATAGATATCTAATAAATGATTATCACGTGGTGTGAGTAGGGTCACGTGTAGTAGGTTATATCACGTATACACACTCCTGTGCATAGATATCTAATAAATGATTATCACGTGGTGTGAGTAGGGTCACGTTTAGTGGGGTAAATCATGTATACACACCCCTGTGCATAGATATCTAATAATGATAATCACATAGTGTGAGTAAGGTCACGTTTAGTAGGGTAAATCATGTATACACACCCATGTACATAGATATCTAATAATGATAATCACGTGGCGTGAGTAAGGTCACGTGTAGTAGGATATATCATGTGTATACACCCCTGTACATAGATATCTAATAAATGATTATCACGTGGTGTGAATAAGGCCTCGTGTAGTGGGGTAAATCATGTATACACACCCCTGTGCATAGATATCAAATAATGATAATCACGTGGTGTAAGGTCACGTGTAGTAGGTTATATCATGTATACACACCCCTGTACATAGGTATCAAATAATGATAATCACGTGGTGTAAGGTCACGTGTAGTGGGGTAAATCATGTATACACACTCCTGTACATAGATATCAAATAATGATAATCACGTGGTGTAAGGTCACGTGTAGTAGGGTAAATCATGTATACACACCCCWKTACATARGTATCAAATAATGATAATCACGTGGTGTAAGGTCACGTGTAGTAGGATATATCATGTGTATACACCCCTGTACATAGATATCTAATAAATGATTATCACGTGGTGTAAGGTCATGTGTAGTAGGGTAAATCATGCATACACACCCCTGTACATAGATATCTAATAAATGATTATCACGTGGTGTAAGGTCATGTGTAGTAGGGTAAATCATGTATACACACCCCTGTACATAGATATCTAATAATGATAATCACGTGGTGTAAGGTCACGTGTAGTAGGTTATATCATGTATACACACCCCTGCGTATAGATATATCTAAAGTTTTTTTCAGTTTTTGATCATGTTTGATCGGCACGTTCGGCACAAGTATCTAAAGTAACCTTCACTAAATAGAATATCATAGACGTTAGACGATGTAAGAATAGTTATCTAAAATGATCTGTTGCTTCAATGAGAATGTGATCTGAAATGCACAAAATCGCTTTTTTCTTCATATAATTCTATGATAAGGTATTTGACTAACCATTTTGATGTATTACATAACTTGTTTCACGTTGAAATTTTGATTGTCACGAAACCATTGTCGATTTGGTTACCTCCTGTTACACCATTACAACTGGTACCACTACAATACGATCCCCCACCCCCACCGGCTTGGTACGATGCTTTACCACTACCTCCACCTGAGTACCCTCCTCCGCCTCCAGATGCTCCGTTATCTTCTGACCCACCCCCTCCTCCTCCGAATCCTCCAACTGCACCAGGAGCGGGTCCACCGTTATTACCACTATTCATTTTCCCAGCAAGGCCTCCGACCCACCCTTGAAGTCGTGATCCACCTCGGTCACCGTGTGAAGTGCCTGATCTTAAACATCCCTCCCCATTCCAACCAGCACCAACCCCTCCATTGTAATTTCCACCAGAGTTACACGCTCCCGGGCTACCTCCACTGCCTCCTGCGTATGATGTACTCGATCCCACGCTGGCTGTACCGCTCGTTCCTGCTTGACCGTCAACACCGTTGTAACCTCCCGATGCTCCTCCACCGCCACCAGCGGCAATGAGAAGCGAGTTGCTTSTGGTATACACGAAACTGCCTCCTCCACCACCAGTACCGGCGTTATCTTCAACAGACAAGCCAAGCTGTGCTGCAGTCTTTGTTGTTACTTGCCCTCCTTTCACTTCAACTGAGTTTCCTCCTCGATGACCGACTACAATATTTAGTACAGTACCAGAGGATAATTGAAAAAAGCCTTCCATGGTAGCACCTCGTCCACCATAGTACGTTCCCGGTTTGGTACCATAGTTGTATGAATGAGTACCACCACGTGCCCCTCCTGCACGTATCAGGTACGTCCCTGTACTTGACACAGTGTATGACTGGATGGTGCCAGTTCGTCCAGTACCAGTAGCAGAGAAACTTGTAATTGGTTCTAAGAGAGAGATTAAATAGGATTGGATGAGTGAAGTTGTTCGTTAGGCTTAGAAAGGCTTAGAATGTTTGCATTAAAAAAATTCAAGCGGATAAATTTTCACGTGAGACTGGAATTAAAATATTAGGAGTATATTTTTCTAATAAATGGCAATCATCGAAATATCAACAACTTTGAAATATTTTTTGAAAACTTTAAAGCCACGTTATCAATCTGGAAAGGTAGAACCCTAATAGGCAAGATACAAATCGTAAAATCGTTAGGTCTCTCTCACAGGCAGAAAAACAAGGTTCCTGTGTATGGTTTATAAGGGAATGTATGGGAGTTATGATAAAGTCATGACAATAAAATGTTTCACTCAACAATTTGCGTCAAAATTAAACTTGCTGCAGTTGTTGCATTTACTTTTTTCAGTCTTCTGTCGAAGTTCAGCCCGATTTGAGGTCGTTTAGTGGGTTTTTTCAAAATCCGCTCTTATCTTATGAGTGTTTGGGAGGTGGGGGAGTGGTTGTTTTCACGGCTTTGGTGTAAGTCATGCGACTTGCATGATTGATTTACCATTTTGCATAATTTATGAAATTAGTTCGGCACGTTTTTAAACTGCGTTTGCCGCAAAGTCGCTCCGGAGTCGTATTGTCCGACTTGGCTTGTCGAACTTATGCTGGACTTGAACCTATTCAATAGGGTCGTTCTCAATTGCAGCAAACGTTGTACTAGGCATGAGCCTATTTCAAGTAATAAGTTCGACTTAAATAATCTCATGGTTAGTTCGACGTTTGCCCTGGACCTAACTGAGTTAAACATGAAATTCAGTTGATATTTGACATTCGTATGGAAAGATCCAGAACACGTGAAAAACGTTTCCTAATGATTCTAATCAATGCCTTATTCCAGCGACTGTTCAATTCATGCTCGGCCTTCAGTCAGTATAGCTCTTTCAATGTCATAACAAGTTACCATAGGTTTTTAAAAACATGCATCTTTTCAGTCAATAATAATAATAATAATAATAATAATAATAATAATAATAATAATAATAAATTATGATTTATATAGCGCTAATATCCCCATGGTTCAACGGCGCTTTACAARAAGATCTGATAAAACATATAAAAATATAACTATRTAGATATTTAGTGTRGTTAAGTGGTATACATTAAAATCTTTAAACAATAATAATTACAAACAACATTATAAATACATCATATTTGATAGACTTATTGTTTTACATAAAATTATGAATCAATGATTGAATAACTTTTAACATTAATTGGCTATTATACATAATAATAATCATTATAAAAAGTTTGTTGAAAAGTAAAAACATAGATATCTAAAATAAAACTACTAAAAGGATGCTTGTTGAAAAAGCCAGGTTTTAACCCTTTGCTTGAACTGTGATATTGAAACAGAGGATCTAATGTTCTGTGGTAGATTGTTCCACAGTTCAGGGGCCGCATTAGAGAAGGCTCTTCTACCATACTGTTTCAGGTTGTAAGATTCCCTTACTAAAAGATTCTGAGACATTGATCGTAAGGAACGTGATGGAACATAAGGAACCAACAAGTCACATAAGTAGGAAGGAGTCTGATTATGTAAGACCTTGAAAGTGAGTAGTAGAATCTTAAAGACAATACGCTGTTCTACAGGTAGCCAGTGCAGGTCATATAAGATGGGAGTAATATGATCTTGTTTTCTTGAAAAAGTAATAAGTCGAGCAGCTGCGTTTTGTACATGTTGTAATTTTTGGAGAGAAGTTTTGGGAAGACCATAAAGTAAAGAATTACAGAAGTCAAGTTTCGAAGATATGAGGGCATGGACAAGAGTTTCACATGCATTACGACTCAAGTATCTTCTAATTTTCCAAATATTATGAATATGAAAAAAGCAGGTCTTACATACGGAAAGTATCTGATCTTCCAATGACAGATTCTCATCAAAGATGATACCAATGTTACGAGGTGATGTAGATCGAGTAATAGTAGAGTTCGAAATTTCAAGAGATACAATGGGTGGTAGAGGACGACGAGGGTTTGATAAGACAAGAATTTCAGTTTCGTCCTTATTAAGTTTCAACTTGTTGCAAGTCATCTATCTATTAATTTGTGAAACACAGGTCTCAATTTGCCGTTTCGCTGAATTGAGCTCAATTGATGAAGATGTAGAAAATGCTAAATAGATTTGTGTGTCATCAGCATATAGATGAAAGTTGATGTTGCACTTCCGCATAATATCACCAATTGGTGCAGTGTACAAAAGAAATAATATGGGTCCCAGAATAGAGCCTGTGGGACACCACATTCAAGAGGTTGAAGAGAAGATGAGACGCCATTTACTTTTACTCGAAAGCATCTATCACTAAGGTAGGATTTAAACCACTGAAGGGATTTTTCAATTATGGCATATCTAGATGAGAGCCTCTCAAGAAGAATGCTATGATCAACGGTATCGAAAGCAGCTGAAAGATCAAGTAATACCAAAATGACTGCAGATTGTCGGTCGATAGCTTGAAGAATGTCATTATGAACTCTCAGAAGGGCTGTTTCAACGCTATGGAATTTCTTGTAAGCTGATTGGAATTTTTCATGAAGATGATTTTCCTCTAAGTGCTCTACTAGTTGAGTGGCAACCACCTTTTCTACGACTTTAGAGAGAAATTTCAAGTTGGATATTGGTCTGAAGCTGGAAAATTCATCAGGAGGCATCTGATGTTTTTTAAGAACTGGTCTTACTAATGCTTCCTTTAGATGACTTGGCATTGCTGCAGTGCTTAAAGATAAGTTGACAATCTTTGTAATAGATGGAAAGAGTATTTCGATACTACCTTTAAGAATAACACCAGGGAGAGGATCTAGATCGCGGGATTTGCTGAGAAGTGGAAGTATCAGCTTAGACAGATCATCGCATGAAATAGCAGAGAATGAATTCAGATGTCTAGACACTGGTAAAGGTAGATGGTTGTCTACGTAGGTTGGATGTAGAACAAAATCATCTTGAATAGCTTTTATTTTACCAACAAAAAAGTCAGCAAAAGAGTTAGCAAGATGTTTAGCAGTAGGAGCGGCAGGAAAAGGTTGCTCAGGATTTCTGTGTAGCCATTTGTCAAAAGTAGAAAACAAAACTTTCTGATTGGACTTATTATCATTAATGATACTGGAAAAATATTCATTCTTAGATTTCTGAATAAGACGCTTTACAACCCAACATTGCTCAACATATAGATCACGATCAATTGTTAGACGTGAACTTCGCCAGGTTCTCTCAAGTTTACGGCGTTTAATCTTTTCAGATTTTATCACTACCGTGTACCAAGGGGCTGATGGCCTCATTGTTATAATACGTTCTTTGAGAGGAGCGTGCGAGTCAAGAATTGACAACAGTTCAGAGTGATATTGTAAAGTAAGGCTGTCGATATCATCTGCTGGTGAGGTTACTAAACAGGACCGAGCAATATCACTATTAAATGTGTCAATATCAATTGAATTGATCTTTCGGCATTTTGAAACAATTTTTTCAAAAGGTGGTTTTTTTAGTAAGCAGTTCACAAGACACAGCAGAATGGTCTGATATAGCAGGATCAGAGATAGAAACTTTATCAATTAATTTGCTATCAGCTCTGGTAATGATAAGGTCAAGCATGTGTTTCTCTTTGAATGTAGGTTGTTTAATATGCTGACACAAATTGAAAAGATTCAAAATGTTAAGAAATTCAAGAGCATGATAGTTAGTTGGATCTTCAATATGAAAATTGAAATCACCCACAAGAAGAAATGAGGCAGAATTAATAGAAAACTGTTCCAGAAACTGAGAAAACTCGTCAAAAAACATTGGAATGGAGAATTTGTTCCGACCTGATGGAGGCGGTCTATATAAAACAAAAATTGAAATGGTAGACGGAGATGAGTTTAAAGACATGCCCATAACCTCAAACGACTTGAATTTAGATATCGAAATTTTATTTAATTTARGAGATTTTTTAAAAAGTAAACCAACACCACCTCCTCTAGATTTTCTGGGCATGTGGTAAAAAAGATAGCCTTTAGGAGTTAATTCATTTAAAATCAATTGTAAGTTTGAATTATTTGTATTCAACCAAGTTTCAGTTAAACATAGCAACTCAATATCATTTTCAATAATAAAGTCATTTATAATCAAAGCTTTATTGCATACAGACCTGCAGTTTAATAGAAAAAGTTTAGAGCTTCTATGAACATTTGATGATGAAGGAATGCAGCGAGGATAGTATAGATTGTTCGTATTTATTCCACGATGTGAATTGTTGTGCCTATTCATGGTGTTCAGCCAAGGTGAACGAAGGGACGAATTCTGAATACTTAATTTCTTGGTAGATCGGGAAATAATTGGTTTTATCAGACGAATATCATCATCCTTTGCTTTAGATCGTCCACCACGTTTTCCTCTGAATTGCCGTAGTATTCCAAGAGATTTCATAGTTTCCCAGGTCCCAAAATCCAGTGGAAGTTGACGATAACGATGACCAGTAGACGTACAATGGCGGGAAGTTTGAAAACCAGAAGAACATTTCCACCAGAAACAGCGTGATAGTAAAACCTTTCTCGAATAAAAAAGCATAATTTTACAGTAGAGATACTCAGAAAAGAGATTCTAAGAGTAAAAAGCATCAAAAAGTATTCAAATCAAGAATAAACTTCAAAGACATCAAGAGCTAAATTTTTAAGCATCCTGTTATGGCGCTGATATATTCATAATGTTATTAATAGCTTTATGTGAATAACAAAAACATCGTTGATTTTCACATCACTATGTGGGAAGCACATGCTGGTCACAAATTGCATCTTGCGCGTCATATTTGGCTGAGGTTCATGTAATAAGCGATAACATGTAAGAAAAGAGTTGATCTCTATATCTACCTAGATTCGAATTCTTTTCAGTTTCTGTTTTTCCAGTTTTCCTCCCTCCGCAAAACTTGACACACTAAATTTGAATTTGATCAATGAGTTGGCCTTGGAGTGACTTTGATCAGCCCAGAAATGAATTATGACAAATTAAAATGTATCTAATTTTGACAAAGGTACAAACGCGACAAACGTGACAAACGGGACATTAATGCCGATCAGTGATCTATACTAGTATTGAGTGTCTAGAAACCACTCAGGAATAATTGTTTTTCTCATCAATGCGACCTGAGTTCGAGTCCTGCCAGGCTTGTGGTGTCGTAAGTGAGTAGAGTTGTTTGTTGATTCTCTCCTGTTTTTCGAGTGTTTTTCTCCGGGTTGCCCGGGTTTCCGGTTTATTTAGAGTTATTAGAGAGTTTTAGGTTTACGATCACGGCAAACGTGAAACGTCAGTTGACCAATAAAAAATTCTTTTAAATTACTGAAAAAGAATCGCAAAAAATTCCAAGTAGTAGAAAATCGAAAGAGTATTTGCGCTTTGTGAGAAGGTTTGTAAAAGGTAAAGTAAAATAAAGGAAAACTATGAAAACGTGGTCACGTTTGCCGTTTGCGGGGAGAAAAAAAAGTCAATCTAAAACTCTCTATTTCGAGTTAAATTTACGTGCCTACTTTTATGGAACACCGCAAGCTCATAAACTAACTATGGCATGATTTCTGAAGAGATTTGGGCTAGTTTAACTCTTAATTTTGCATGCCAAGATAAGATAATGGTAATGTTCGGCCAATCAACCAGTTACTGCAATTTTCATAAAGATGCGAAATCTGTGTCTGCGAGCTGCACGCTGAAATTATGTTTTTCGCTGCCGTCAGTCAAAACATGAAAGGTGCCGACTGAAATTGTCAGAAATTTATTGGAARACACTGACCTTTAAATGTAGGTAGTTTAGCGATGTCCGATTGTGATAAGGTGGTGAAATAATGTCGCAAAAACTATTGATTCGCAATTTCAATTATTGTGCTAATTAAATAAATATGGAAAGATGAAAACATGCATGCAATTTTCACAAGTGGATATTGGAAATGTTCAAAGAAAAAGCAAAGAAAAAATCTAAACTTTCTAAAATATTTACAATTTCTTTTTTAGACAAATATAATATTACTGTTCTGGATGGTTAAAGTTCGTATTAAATATTCGTATTTTTACGAATATTTTTGTTCGAGGCAGTTGGCTTTTGGCCTTGAAAATTGCGCTTTTACGACTCAATAATTTTGTTCATTTTTAGCGAATTTCACTCAACAAGATTCCTCTACTGTACGTACATACTCTTTTATAGTCGTGTCATGTGTATGCAAGAGTTTAAAGTACTTAACAATGGCTTAGGACTCACCATTTTGGCAGTTGTTCCCATCAAATCCTGTCTTACATTCACAGCGATATTCCTGCCTGTTGTTCTGAAGGCTGCAGGTGCCACCATTAAGACAAGGCTGTTGTTCACAAGGAGTCTGTTAAAAAAGGAAATTATCACCACATACTTAAATGATACTAATAGATTTAATCCTACACGACGAAAAATAGATTAAAGTTCACATTAAAAAGGACAAAAAGAATGGAAGGAAAATGTATCTAGCATACTTTGTGACGCCGACTTGATGGACATTAATATTATTTTCTCCGCTTTGTGAATATTCTTTTAAAAAAACATTTCAAGCAATACAAGAGGCTTAAGCAAACAAAGCTGATGATATTAATTTGACATACAGTCAATGTCATTAACGTTGTCCACCGAAAAATGACCTTTACACATTTAGTCATTTAGACATTTAGACTAAAAGAAATATCACGTGTTTTCTCGAACGTTTAGCCATTCTCCATCTTAAATCCTCACTAAATGAATTTTACATTTAAAGTTCAGGCTGACGCATACGAGGTAAAGAATACATAATGAAACACGTGATATTTCTTTTAGTCTAAATGTGTAAATGTGTAAATGCCTAAATGTCTAAATGTGTAAATGTGTAAATGTCTTTTTTCGGTGGACAACGTTAATGACATTGACTGTATTTGAAAGAGCATTATACTTTGTATGCTGACTGAAATTATTCAGTTCAAAACCCATAGCTTAGAACAATAAACTATTGTTTGTTTGTTTCTTACTTTATGTAAATATTTTTTTTCAGTTAGTTTCTTGATAATGATGACAGGATGTCATCGAAACGTCGAAATCTATCTGCGTTAGTTTTTCTGATTAAAACCTTTAAAAACTTTCTTTAAATTTTCTTGCCTACCGTTTCAGCTAAATAAACTTTTTTAATACATCAATTGGCAGAACATATTGTATTGTGGTTACTTCTATCCCTATCGAGGACTTTTCTCTTGTATTTCTCCGTAAAAATCAATTCGAAAATCACTTGGAACTGGAGAGGGTTTTTTCTTAGTCTGTTTGAAAAAATAAGCATGACACTTAATTTCGGATGCCATCCTTTCTCTAACTAAAGAACTGCGCCTACCTTGATGCTGAGATGAGTAAATGTGTCGTTTATTGTCATGTTCTGCGGATGAGTATTTTTATCGGTTGACAACAGCTCACATACGTGAAGTCCATTATTCTGGGTTGTGGTTTGAAAGTTCACCGATTGACACCAAGGAACCCCAACACATGCAAAGACACACTCCATTTTATCAGGAACTTGAGTGGTTTGTTGCTGAATGTCTTTGGTGTGGATGGGAAAGGATAAAATGGACTCAGGGAAAGCATTAAACAGGAATTCATCATACTTGTTGTCGCTGTGTTCATTACATTTGCTGTAGTGTACAGTACATAACATCAGCACTACAGTCAGCCAAGTCATGATTAATGACAAACAATCCTTCGTACTCGAAGGATAGGAAGTAAAATGGCCAAAACTGCAAAGGTCCACCCTTGATGATTAAGCAATTAATTATTCAGACGTAAGTGGTATTGATCTACTCAGCAAGATGCCATCCTGAATCGTTAGCAGGTTATCTTATCAGGGAACTTGTTGACTCTTAAAGTAGTTTTAAAAATGTACGACTTTATGATTTCTCCCCTGCTTTATGGCTAAGGGTGACAAAATAACATTGAATAAAAATATAGAAATAAAAAAAGACTGAAAAATAATTATCGATAATAAATAAAACCCGAAAATATACACAAACGTTAATAAAAACAAGAACCGAAGCTACAAAAAAAGATGTATCAAAAACTCCGTGAACTTCAGTCAGCAAACAGTAGAAAAGCACCGTATAGCAACCGCGTTTGTTTCGGGGTCACCATGACACCCAAACTTCTAGGGAGAATATAAATATTTAAGAAAACTAAACGAGCTCAAGGACTATAGACGAATAATTACATAATGTTATTTGAATAAGTTTAAGAGCGTGAAATACGACACTTTTAAGTTCCATGTTTTTACCAAGACATGTTTCTACAGTTCGATTTTCTACAATTTGATTTTACATTTTTTTTCTTAACTGGAGGTGACTTAAAAAAGCATTTATAAACCATATTTCTATATACACCTATTTCAAAAAACGTTRTCCGTCCAAGAACTGAAATGGGAGATCTTGGTGTACTTTTTTTTTTAGTGCTAAAATACAAAGAACGCATTTCTAACTTAGTCATTCTTCATTTTCCAAWCAAAAAGAAAACTACATTGTTCGGCTGTATATACATTAACTTGCAGCGTGAGGCTTCTCAGTCTCAGATATCGATTTCAGATATCCGACCGACAACGTTTTTAAAAATAGGTGTAGATAAAAAATGTGATTCATTGAGAGACAGCTTACAGAAAACTACATATAATACACAACTCAATCTTGTTTTTATGTTTATTTTATATTTTCTAAACAGTGGAACAAGAAGTTTCCAGCATGTTGTTTAGTGAACATGAAAACAAACCCTAGCTGGGATGTTTATCTTCAAATTCACACTAAGCCGAAACTGAAATCTGCAGGTGTGCGTTGCACAGAATAGTGAACTATATATAGCAACTGGAAACTATAGAATGATAACAATGTTTGAAAATTAGAAAAAGAAGATGTTTTTCTCTAAGATAACATATTCAGTATRTCATAGCGTTCACGTCTAGAGGGTTAGAAGCATTTTGGATTATAAACTTCTATGTACACTATGCTTTGAACCCGACAATAATTCGCAATTCAGTGTATACTGGAAATGGGAAAAATCGTCATTTAAATGTTTGTGTACTCTACTTCTTATAGATTACAGTCTGTTTTCCTTGAAAATAGTATTTGAAGTTTACCCCAAATTTCGTCTTGTTGATTTTTCCTAACAATTCGTAGTTGTTAGGACTATTGGCCGTTTTGGTTTCGTATAATCATAAATTGCTTGAGTTATTCTCGTGGGCGTGTTTCTCTCTCTCTCTCTCTCTTGCTGTGCGGTGGAGTTGGAGTAACAGCAGGGGACTTATATATTTATTGCCATTAAAGCCTCAAAATCGAGACTTTTGCTTGGAAATAGTCCCATAGGGCTTTCGTTGAATTTATTCTCTGATATTTTTATAAGTTCTTGCAATTCAGATGATCTCTTCACTCTTGAAAATGATGTCGAAACGTCGAGAAAATTGGAGTAAACTTGTCGCCACAAATCTTAAAATTAAAACTTTAAAAACGAAATGTCAAGTTTAAAATTGTTTCATAATCTTCGTCCACTTTGTATAAGTACAAAAAATTGCAAGTCGTTATTAATATGTAAGAGCTTTTAGCCTTTAAAGAGCCCTTAGGCGAGATAGCAGTTTTAAAGAACTTTCAAAACATCACGACTATTAACGAATTGTACGAGAAGGTCGTGCGATTTTTCATTTATAGTAAACTCGACCAAATTATTGAAGTGAAGGTATTTATCTGTTTCTTAACTTTCGATAATTTTCTTCTTCTTCTTCTTCTTCTTCTTCTTCAAAAAAAAAGATCTAATTGAGGATGATTAAAATGCATAAGAAGATTAGTTGTTATTGTTTTAGTATCATATGGATATGTTTTGTATATTTTTAAAGGGGGGTATTACGTATTTACCTGYCACGCAGTTGCTATATGGAAAAAAAGTAGAATATCTAAGAGGTTTTTCTTATGTTTTCAACCTATTCATAAAATCTTTTTGTGAAATTGATCGTTTTCTGATATGTAATGACGTTTTCAATTTTACGTAATGTATGATATCATATTTCATTTTTCTTGAATAAAATATGGTGTACATTTGGTCGGTTTAATTGACCCTAAAAAATAAGAAAAAGTATAGCCGAGATAAATTGGAACAAAGTTGAGCATGAGTTTAACTCTACATAAAGCAATTGGGAAATTATTTACATTAAAAATTTTCAATATAACTTGGTAGCCAGGCCTTTTCGCCGTTCTCAAAAATAATGCTGAGCTTTGTCGTTCCATTTCATCTCAGCTATAATTTTGCTTATTTTCGTGTAAAATCATGAAAATGAAATCCTGCTGTCCTAATTTCCTTGAAAACAATTTAGGAGCTGAATGAATAAAGCTTCGATCGCCTTACGTGATTGTTATATATGGTGGAGGAACTAAAAGCACATTGGTGAGACAAGCGAAGCGCGCGTGATGCTTGGTGCTTTTTTTATGAGAGACACCAGATATTGCAGAGAAAGTCCATGGAGGATCTTGTAAGACATGATTAATCTTAAACAATACTCTCGACTCAACTGGTAACCAATTAAAGTCCTTCAAACCGGGTGTAATATGATCTGAGCGTTTTGCGCCTTCTGCCAATCGATCAGGCGCAGCTGCTGCAGTGTTTTGCACTCTCTGTAACTTTTCTTTCTGATAATTTGGAAGGCCGCCATAACGTAAACTATTAGAATAACCAAGTTGAGATATGATCAAAGCATTAACCAGCCGCTTAATTCCGTCATGAGGAATGGTATTAATGCGAATACGACATAGAAAGCATATCCAGTTGCGCTGTCTTCCACATTCCATCTATGTGACTTTTATTTTTTTCCATAGATACTTTATTAACACAAAGACGTGACAATTAGCAATTTACAATATACAAAAAGCAATACATGTTTTTCCTTATATTTCCTTGTATTTCAAGTCTTGAAAAATTTCAATAAAACTTTTAGGAGTGAATCTCATCTGATTGACACAATATTTTGAATGTGTAAAGATGCTTTGTTCACTAGAAACTTCGAATATTAGATGTGTTAGGGAATATATACAAGCAACGTAACCGATAAAATGTTATCAGTTGCTTAAGCACTAAAGATCCTAGAGTCGCGGCACTCGGCTACTCGTGTGACTCTTAAACTTCTTTCTTGCTTAGCAGCTTCCCGCGTGCATCCTAAACTAGATGGAAGCACGTTAATCAATGATCAGTCCTTTATTTTAATACAAGTTTTATCGGCTTCGCCCACGATGCTTATTCCATATAAAAATAAGGGGTGAAAAAGGGACGTATACATTGTAAATAGAGTATTTGTAGATAAGAAAAGTTTCAGTTTTGATAGTATTCCAACAGTCCTACTTATTTTATTACTTAAGAAGAGATCGATGTGGTTTTCCCATGACAGGTGTTTATCGACGTAGTAGTACACCTAGGTACTTAACATATACTTTAGAAGACAAACAACGTTTTATTAAATGAGCAGGTATCGAATGATTGCTTCAAATTACACTATACATTAGTATATTTACTACTAATTAATACTTTCCCGATCAATGGCCGGATTGAGATCAGATTTGGCGTTTTATTTCGTGGCCTTTTAATTTTRGCTTGTGGGAGGAGCTGAAGCAATTGAAAGTAAAATTAAAACCGTTGCTTGTGCCGACTTTTATCATTTTCGTTATTCCTTCGTCCCCCTTTACGTACGAAGGTCGAATCAGTAGCCATTCGTTATGAACTGGTTAGCTTTAGTACTGCTTTTGTGTAAAGCACACTACATCACATGTACTGAGCAGGACGACTATTTCAACAAGGACAAAGGTTTTCTTTTTGATGCTTTTCCTGAGTCCATTTTGTCATTTCCCATCCACACCAAAGACATTCAACAACAAACCACTCAAGTTCCTGAGAAAATGGAGTGTGTCTTTGCCTGTGTTGGGGTTCCTTGGTGTCAATCGATGAACTTTCAAACCACAGCCAAGAATAATGGACTTCACGTATGTGAGCTGCTATCAACCGATAAACATACACACCCGCAGAACATGATACAAAACAACGCATTTGTTCATTTCAGCATCCAGGTAATTTCTAAAGATTATAGTCAAGATAGTTTCTTGTTCTTCCAGAATTATTAACAAGGAAACCAATAACTTAAACCATTTTTCTCTTTCCAGAACCCGTGCGCAGAGACACCCTGTCATAATGGTGGCACCTGCATCCTTCAGAAAAACAGGCAGGAATATCGCTGTCAATGTAAGAAAGGATATGATGGGAACAACTGCCAAAATGGTGAGTTTCAAATTACTGCACAAATTGTGCGAGATTGACAGAATATTCCCTGAATCGCATTAGTATATGACTACATAACATTAACTTTTCTAAGGTGACGTTTTTGCTTTTAAGTCACAAACTTCTTCATTCTTTTTTTCTTGAGTATGTACATCAAAATTTGCGTCTTCTTACAAAAGACCACTCAAATTCGAAACTTTAGACAAATAAAATCTGGGCTGATCCAAGTCAGAGCACGGCTAACTCTCATATAGAATCCTGAAAAAAATCCTCTGGTCTGATCCAAGTTAGGGCAAGGCTATCTTACAGATAGAACCTTGAGAAAACCTGAAATTGTCTAAAAATGACTGAAGCTTTTGGTGGTTATAGTGCGCTATGACCACCAAAAGTTTCGGTCATTTCGAGTTAAATATCACAGAGATATTCTGTATTTGATGATTGGACTTTTTACAAGGATCCGGGGTTGACGTCAGCGTTTCGTGATTTCTGACCTTCTGTTTTGAATATCTCGGCAACAAAAAGAAATATCAAAAAGAAAGTAAAGTTCATCCCTATTTATGTCATAAGGGCTTTGAAATCAGGAAGAGATCCTGTAGGCTTGACAGGCACTTTAACTGTCAGTACAAGCAGTTTTTCATTCTGTACAGCTTTCATCCATTAATTGCATCATTTTATGCAGGGCCAGGTCTAAGTAAAACGTTACGGCAAAAATGAGGTTTAAATTTCATCGTTTAGTTTAATGGAAAATTGCCAATTCGGAAAATTAAAGAGACGTTGCAAATGTAATCATGATTTTAATTGGGCAAATAAAAAAATTCAACTATTTTTAGATACGACTAAGAGTGCAGTGCAGTGGAGTAGAAGATTCGTGAAATGGTAAAAATAAACTTAAAATTATTTTTAAAGATATCAAATTATCCCAATTTTGTTCCAGATGTGGACGAGTGTACTGCTGGTACAGACAACTGTCATAATGATGCTACTTGCACAAACACTGGTGGTTCGTTCACTTGTCAGTGTAAACCTGGTTACCAAGGCAATGGAGTGACGTGTACAGGTTTGTAATAATAGTCATTTCAAAATAAAAATAAAACATCGTGGTTTGAAGGCCTCCAAGCCTACGCGACTAGACCGAAAGGAATTCCGGTTAGAAATTCACTAAGCGGATGACTGCATATCAGATACGATCAGATTAGATGCCAAACAGGCAGCGTTTAATGGAAGAATAAACCTGTTCTGTTGTTCAGTACGCAGCCTGTTAAAGGTCTTGCTTGAAATCGTATTTTCTTCCTCTAGTAAAATAGGCCTTATAACGACATTAATCATTTTCTTGTTCACAGATGTGGACGAGTGTACTGTTGGTACACACAACTGCCATTCTGATGCTACTTGCACAAACAATGGTGGTTCGTTCACTTGTCAGTGTAAACCTGGTTACCAAGGAAACGGAGTGACGTGTACAGGTTTGTTAATATCATAAAGTCTATAAATATGATGAGAAATCCGATCTTCAACTTTTGAATCAAATGTTGGATCATAACATAATGAAAGTTGGGCGTACCTCGGATTTTCATATAGCTTACTTGATTGTAGTTTTTGTAAAAGAGGAAATTATGTACCTTGACCTCGATATGATCTTAAGGATATGGATGCAAGCATGCAATTTTTCTCTAAATGTTCCTTTATAAATAACTATTTTCTTTATAACTGCTTTAAAATCTAAATGCTTCATTTAAAACGTAAATACAGGCTTATGTTTGATCAAGACCTCTGTCAGAATTTCTTTACATTTTATGATTTTCTAATGTAAGAATATTTTTTAATTGAATCGCCATTTTTTTTAGAGAAAATTAAAGGAGATCATAACGCTTCTTTAATCAAATGGAATTTTAAAATAAATATTACTATGTACCTCGTGTTCCTTTGTAGTAGACTTTAAAGCCAAAACAGTTCGTATAAGTACATAAATATAGGCTATAAAAATGTCTATATTGTCCAGCTTTATCGTAAAACATTGGTCTTGAAACCATGTTCTTCTTACCGATCTTCGCTTAATCGTGCAGAGAATACTGCTCGAACTGAATTATGAATAGCTCACCAAAAAAACCTACTACCCATGATAATCATTGAAAATCTTAGAAATATTCGCTTCGAAGTAATGCGTAGACATTAATTTACGTCACGTGATCGGCTGGCTCTGCCCTCTCTTAATCACTTGGCAACATGGTGAATTTGATTGACAGCTTGTACATGCTAATTGACCGGACTATAGACCGGAACTCTATAGCAGGAGCCCGCAACGGTCCCTTGGGTAATGTCCTGAAGACCCCTGGGTACTATTGTTCAACTTGTCCATTTTGTTGGGGAGGAATCAGGACGAAAAAAAAAAAAAAAAAAAAAAAA